TTTTATTGTTCTTCGACTTTAGAACAAATATTGAAAAATCTGCATTTTTTTTGTACTAGATTGTAAGTATGTCAGTAAATACTTTTCGTAATCTTTTTCGTTAGTTGATCATGTCCATACTGTCTCCAGGTTTGTTATGGCAACGATAACAGCCTAGGCTGTTGAAATTTAACGTTCAGGTTATCGGACGTTGATGCGTATGTTGCTATACAAAAGGCACACCCGAAAGACTACTGTTTTAATAACTATACTATAAAAAAATAAATAAAATACACATAGGTATGTATTACAAAATACAGAGTGGAAACTTTAACTGGAATAAAATTCATAATTTGAATATAAGCGATTTTTGTAGAAAATCCTGAAACAGGTCGATTTTTATTTTTCCTTGGGCATCATTTGACACATATGGTTTTTGTTTATCTGCTTTCTGAAATACATAGCCACCTATAACTTTTTTTTTCAAATGTAATGGTATGACAAGTGACACCTCGTTTGAAAGGTCATTTTGCAAAGAACACAATGTACTATTTATTTTCTGATTATTTTTAAAGTCTACATAATAAAAAATAAAACCAATCTTATAAGATGAATCCTATTTAATGCAACAAATATTTAAAATGGATATCGTTTCTTTCCTGATAAACTGCAAAACGATCGTAACATGTATTCCTTACGTTTTGCAACATTTCGAGTGTGATTTGCGACAAAATCGAATAACATTGAGGACCTTCAGGAACGTTTTAGGAATAAAATTGGGCAAATCACCCGAAATGTTGCAAAAGATAAGAAATGTATGTTATTTTTACCATTACATTTGAAAAAAAAAAAGGTATAGGTGGATGTGCATTTCAGAAAGCAGATAAACACAAACCATCTGTCAAATGATGCGCAAGGAAAAATAAAAATCAACCTGTTTCAGGATTTGTTACAAAAATCGCTTATATTCAAGTAAGTTACTAGCTTGTACCCGTGACTTCGTCCACGCAGATTTTAGGTATAAACTTTTGTTGTTCTTCAAAGAAGAAATGAGAAGTTAGTCTGGTTATCTATTTTTTTTCTTGATTCATTAACTTAAAACAACGCAGAAGCAGAAAGCCAATTCTTAAGAAAATGACAAATGTACGTTACCATCGCTTACACGCCATTTCACCTCGTTGAATTTTCAAAAAGTGCACTCCTACACCCTCAAAAATTAAAATTTCAAATTTCATGTATATATTTTCGTTTAAATGTCTACACTTTATTTCATCCCGTTATAGGTTGGTTTTTGAGAAGTGCCTTAGTAGTGCACTTCTTCACTCTCTATCTATTTTCCAAATTTCATGTTGTATCTTCGTTTAAACGTGTACATCCTTGTTCACCTCTTTAGAAACTGTTTTTTAAAAATCTAGTCTTAGTGCCCCTTTACAACCGCTAAAGAACATATCCTTCAAATTTTATCTTTCTATCTTCGTTTAATTGTTGGCAACCCATTTCACCCTCTTATAAAAACATTTTCAAAAAATCCTTTCTTGGTGGATCTCTCCACTCTCTAAGGAATATGTTTCTTAAATTTTATATTTTTACCTTCGTTTAAATGTTTACACCCCATTTCACCCCCCTTAGAAATTAATTTCCAAAAAATCTTTTTTTAGCGGACCTGTACACTCTCTAAGGAATATGTTTCCCAAAGTTTATGTTTTTATTACCGTTTAAAGGTTTACACCCAATTTTATCCCCTAAGAAATTGGTTTTCGAAAAGACATCTACATGCTCTAAGGAACATATCTTTCTAATTTCATGTTCTTATTTTCGTTTAAATGTGTACATCCAGTTTCACTCCCTTTTCTAAGGGAGTGAATAAGTTTTTACTTATTATTTTTTAAAAACCTCGTCTAAGTGCACTTTTATAACTGCTAAGGAACATATCCTCAAATTTTTTGTTTCTATTTTCGTTTAAATATTTACACTCCATTTCACCCCCATAGAGATTAATTTTCGAAAAATCCTGTACACCCTTTAAGGAACATATCTGAAAATTTTCATGTTTCTATTTTTGTTTAAACGTATACACCCTGTTTCACCCCCTTTTCTAAGGGAGTAAATAAGTTTTTAGTAATTGTTTTTAAAAAATCTACTCTTAGTGCACCTTTACAACCGCTAAGTAACATACCTTCCCATTTTTTTGTTTCTATCTTTGTTTAAAAGTTTACACCCCATCTCACCCCCTTAGTAATTTTTTTAAATCCTTTCTTAGCGGACATCTACACCTTCTAAGGAACATATCTACCAAATTTCATATTTCTAACTTCAGTTGTTTAGGCTGTGCGTTGTGTGTCAGTCAGTTACGGAACTCTTATAATATAATAGAAGATGAATTTTATTCCAGTTAAAAATTCCACTCTGTATAAATAATTAATATAGGACTATTAAAAATTTCACTTAAAAATTAGGTAACTTATTTTGGTTCCATTCTCGTATGTGTATGTGTCTATACATTTTTTTTTTAAATGAATCACCAAACATTATGAAGATTTAAGTTCGCACCGATAAAAAATAAACTTTAGAAAAATATTTTATTCCTTATTTCAGCGGTAACAAACAATTCTAAATGTTATTTCGTAATGTGTTATGCAAAATACTTACATGAAGAAAAACGTCAGCAACATATATCAAATCAACCTGGCTTGTAGTATCCTCGGGGTTAGCAGTACTGGCTTTAATGGACCCCACCAAAGGCGGGATTTGCTTGACCAATTCTTGTGTTTCCGTTATCAATGCTTCTCTTGTGGTTTGGTTCGAGTTATACGGATGACTTGCCTGTGCCGCTGTGATACACTGAGTGGCTGAAGAGACCGCTTTCCTCGCACAAACCTTGACTCGATCTACTAATTTCGCTCTCAATGCCGGTGTAGTCGCAGCCACTGTCGTAACATCTCTTAATTCTTCAGCCGTCTTACGCAACACACTCTGATAATGAATATCATGTGGATGCGAAGCGCATTGCCTCGCAGCTTCAACCATTCTCGCCGTAGCATCGGCCAAAGTTTTTGCAGCCGCCAAAAGCCTCCTTTGAATATCCGAATCCGGACTCTTTTCAGCTTCACCCTTAATACTCTGAATCAATTGTGCAGTGGCCTGTCCCAAAAGTCTCGCTTGTTTCACCATTTCGTTGGGATCACCCGAAGCAGCGGAAAGTCGATCAGTGGCAGTGTAAATTTCCTCCACACTGTGCTCTTGGATGGTTTCTTGTGCGCGTTCTCTCGACGCAAGTTTGATATGATTTAAAAGATCGTTGAGGGTTCGAGTGACTTCACTCGCTGCCTGTTTTAATTGATTCATCAATTCTTCATTACCGGAAGCCTCATTACAGACGGAAACGAGGTTTTCCACAGCTTTTGCGACTTCTCTAACCGCCGCAGTTAATTGTTCTTGACAAGCAGGCGATTGCAGAGTCGGCGCTATTACTTTTGCACAGGCGACTAGTTGTGACGTTGCTAAAGCGCATTGGGTGGCAGCTCCGATGACTCGGTTCTGTGTCTGTTGATCCTCACACGTCGATGCGATGTTTTTCGCTCTCAAAACCAAAGCTGCAGTGGTGTTGGCCACAGCTTTGGCTAAAGAAAGCAACATATCTTGCAGTTGTTTATTCTCGATGGTATCTTCACCGATAGTTGCCAACACACTAGTGCTAGCTTCGCCAACTCTTGAGGCGGCATTGAGTAGACTTTGTCTCGGTTCTTTAGACTCGGGTTCAGCAGCTTTTAATAAGTCGCTGAAAGCGCTACACAATTTCCTAGTAGCGTCCAATAATTTTTCGCCCATATTAGAATCGTCCATTAGAGCGGCTATCATCTTCACATCTTTTGTCATTTCGGGTAAATTACTTCCAATTGTGGTTATAGCAGCACCGACTGCATTGTGGTCGACTTCATCTTGCGGTCCCGATGTCAGAGTGACGACTTGGGCAGTGGCAGCGTTCATAGCTGCGATTTGAGAACCGACGTTTTGTTTGCGGGTGTCTAAAGTGACTTGCTTCCATTTTTTCGCCGCAGGATCGTTTCCCAGTTCAGGGATGTGAGCGCGGCCTTCAAGCTCGATTTCGGATTCTTTTATCTTGCTTTGTGTGGCAGAAATTGTAGACAACAAAGCCCTTTGAGGTTCGGTCAGCACCGACGTCACTTTTGTTTGTTGCACCTATAAAATTGGAGCTTGTTAGTTCTCCAGAGACGTAAAAATAGAAGTAAAGATAATCCAAGCAGAGATAAAGTGAAAGATTCTAAAGATGCAAAGGATATATTTACAGGGGTTACGATCCCGGTCAGCAATTGTTTATATACAAAGATCTATGTACCTACTCTGCCTTCTACTCCAAGAGCAAGACATGAAACAAGAATTTTAATTAGTATTTGTGGAAGTAATGAAAGTTAAGGCAATGGTAAAATAAGTGTGCAAGTTACGCATTCTTACCGTTGGAGGTGCATGACCTACGTTCACTTGTCCACTTACGATAGTGTGTTGAGCACTACCCATCATGCCTGTACTAAATGTTTTCTCACCTAACCAACCAAACAAAAAAGGAAACAAAACAAAATTAAGATAACAAAAAACAACAAAAATTACCGTCAGTTCCAGCTCGCATCACTGCAGGTTTGGCTAACGATTCAGTGTTTAATTTGCCGACTTTGCTTAATTCGTGTTGCAGAATTGTCGCCCTAAAAACTCACATAAAGATAAAATAACTTTTGAGAATACTAAACTCACTTGTGAGGAGCGACGCTCTCCTCAAACATTGTTGATCCTTCGTCACCTTCAATTCCATAATGATCTTTTGCTTGTTTCTATAAAAATAAAATTATTTATAATCCATTTGCTATAATAAAATCTTCACCTTTTTCAAGATGATATCAATGTATCCGGCTATAATTTGTTGTATTTGTTCTGCTTCAGTAGTTTGTACTGAGTAATATTGATCTGAGTAATCCCCGAAATCAAGAGTGAAAGTATTGGGACTAGCGCCCCATCGTCTGACTGTTGTCAAAGGCCAAGTTTGTAAAATCTCTTTAGTCTTTTCATCCAATCGAAGAACCGAATCTTTAGTAACACCCAATAATCTCGGTACTAGTTTATTTTTGCCCTTCATTTTCTCTTTAACCAAGAAGAAGGTAACTCCGTAGGTCTTCAAAGCTCTTGCATTCTTTGTGTACGTAACTTTCGCCTCCAATTCGTTTTTACCCAAGTGTTTTTTATGTTCAGCAAAAATCTTTTTCTCGATACCTTTGACTTTGATGTAAGATTGCGGCAAGAATTCTTTCAAACTGTATAAAATAATAATAATTGAGGATTATTGACCCAAACACTACTTACTCCAAGAATCCCGGTTTGTGTTTGCTCTCCACGTGATCCCCAAATTGGATTTGACACTGTATTCCTGCGAATTCGCAAGCCTTGTCTTGGGTAATTGGATGAGTGCCGTTAATGATGGCGTCTCGAGCTTGGACGTAGAGCAGATTGAGTTGAACAGGATCGTGCGAATCGATGTTTTGGTCGGAAAAGAAAAACTTCCTCCTCAAGAGAACAGTTTCGTTCTCGTCTATGCCTTGCTCTCTCAGAGTTTTCGAGGGATCGAGCCAGTTGACGTCGTCATCAGTATGCAATTTTTTTCTCAGCTGATCCATCTTTGCGTCTCTTTCCTTCTCTTCCCGTTTCCGTTTTAAAGTTAGAGTGCCGTAATTTCGATTCTCGATGTTTTCTTGGTTCTCTAAATCTTCGAGGACTAAAGAGTATTCGTCGTGATTTGTTATGCCGAGTTTCGTACAAATTACAACCATCAGATTAGCAACGATCTGGGAATCGTCGACCAACATCGTCTTCACCGAGCCTTAAAAAGAACGCCATTGGGAGTCAGTAAAGAGAAGCCGTAAAATTATATTAATGGCGAATTTTTTACTGCAGCGGTTAGGCCAAAAGGGATAACGACAAAGTTATAAGGGTAGGGTGACCAGTGGCGTAGCAAAAACAAACATCCATTACGAAAAATAAGACAAAAATGTATGATATCACGGAATTTAATTGTCATATTATAATTTAATTAAAATTGTCTGGAATCGAGAAAAGCCCGAACATTTGTCTTAAAAGCTTAAAGCTCTGACGTTATTTCCCCTTTAAATTTTGTTGCACCATTGAACAGGAATATTCTTTCTGGTTACGAGGTGAGCTCGTCCCAATACATTCAACACCATTCAACACCAAAACCCTCGTAAACACGAACCCTTATCAAAGAAATGTTCGAGTAAAACGAATCGTAATGGCTTTTTAAATTTCAATCTTGACCTCTTAAAACGGTACAAATACCATCAACAAGTATTTTTAATTAACTGGAATTCAATTAATTCACAGAATGGAACAATTTGCTTAAATAAAAACAAAGTTTGTCGTTGATAAATGACCAAAGCTTCAGTTTCAATTATTTGTACTTAAGTAGAATAAATGTGATGTTACAATTTTACATACTTAGGGAATGAAATAATGGAGTACTTTTAAATTTGTTGTGTGAGCAATTGCGAGAAATTGTATTGAAATGATTTAAAAACAATAATAAGTACTAATAGGTACGTAATAAAAGTATAATTTGTTATTAACGGAAACCTCTACTTTGTGGAACAAAGCAAATAGTGATTGTCAAGTTCCATGATATTTTACACAATTTCATAAAAGAACATTTTGTTACAGAGATTATGTTTGTTACAACAAACTCGTAAAATTCTATTATTACTTTCTACAATAACAATTGCGGTTCGAGTTGAAACAGCTGAAATACAAGAATAGATTATTTCATAAAAACAATGGAAAGTGTAAGTTTTAAATATTATTTCTTAATAAACGGCCGAAAAAAATAAAAGTAAACAAACGCCCACATCTAATTAATAATTAATACTATTAACATCAATCAAACAAATTGAGTAATAGAACGCATATATTAGGTAAGATTTCTACGATCAAATCTCGCGTAATAAATAGTGTCGTATTTTCTTCATATTAATTATTTGACTGATACCATAAAACGTTTTCTACGACAGTGCTATTAACTTCAGTCTATTTTTTCGTAGAAAACTGATAAATTTAATTTCATTTCTGGTATTTCCTACCTCTTAATATTACAACACAAATTTAACGTCTACTGTAATATCAAATTTAATCAGTGTTTTTCGCATCTCAATGATGACTAAAAAAATTGTGCTTTTATTTTTATTAAAGGTTTATTAAAGCACAGCCCTTTGCAAAAAAATCATTCTTGCGACAAATAGTTATTCAGAAAATCGCTAGTAAAGGTAAAAATAGCCAACATCTACACTCGACTGTAAGTTCTAAAC